TGGCCTCCAAGACGGCCAAGATGGCCTCCAAGACGGCTAAGATGGCCCCAAGATGCCTCCAAGAAGGCCCAAGATGCACCCAAGACGGCCTAAGATGGCCTCAAGATGGCCCAAAACGGCACAAGAAGCTCCCAAGAGGCATCCAAGACGGCCCAAGAGGGGAAGGCCTGAAGAGGCGAAAATCATTGATTTCCGTTAGGTTTTTGAAGGATTTTGGAATTTCCGCCTTTTCAGCTTTCCGACGGCCCAAGACGGCCCAGGAGGCCCCCAAGGTCGCCGCAAGATCGCCCAAGAGGCCTCCAAGAATGCTCCATGACGGCCCAAGAGGCTCCTCAAGACGGCCCCAAGAAGGCCCGAAGACGGCCCAAGAGGCCTCGAAGACGCCCAAGATGGCCTCCAAAACGGTCCTGGAGCACCCTAAGAGGGCCCCAAGTCGGCCCAGAGAGGCCCCCCAAACGGTTTCCGACGGCGTCAGACGGGCCAGGAGCCCACCAAGATGGCCGAAGTTGCCTCGAAGCTGGCCCAAGAGACCTCCAAGAGGGCCTCAAGGAAAGCCAGAAAAGGTCCAAAACACAGGTTTTCCGTAGGTCTTTAAAGGATTTTGATACGTGCTTCTTTTCGGCCTTCCGACGGCCCGAGACGGCCCAAGAGCTACCAAAGATCACCCACAGATCGCCCAAGAGGTCTCCAAGATGGCCCCAGAACGGCCCAAGAGACCCCCAAGACGGCCTTAAGAGGCCCCCAAAGACGGCCCAGGAGGCTTTTAAGACATCCAAGATGGCCTCAAGACGGCCCTGGAGCATTCCAAGAGGGCCCCAAGTCGGCCCAGAGAGGCCCCCCAAACGGCTTCCGACGGCGTCGGACGGGCCAGGAGCCCACGAAAACAGCCGAAGATGGCTCATGGCCCAAGACGGCCCAAGAGACCTCCAAAAGAGCCTCCAGGAAGGCCCGCAAAGGCCAAATTCATGGATGCCCTGTGAATTTTCGAAGGATTGTGGCATTTGCTTTTCCCTGCCTTCCGACGGCCCGAGACGGCCCAAGTGCCCCCAAAGGTCTCCCAAGAGGCCCAAGACGGCCCCAAGAGGCCCCCAAGACGGCCCAAGAGGCCTCCAAGACGCTCAATATGGCCTCCTTGACGGCCCAAGAGCCCTCCACAACGTCCTCCAAGAAGGCCCGAAAGGGTCAAAATGGCCTCAAGACTGCCAAGATGACCTTCAAGATGCCCACGTGTTCCCCGAAGGCTTTCCAAACCGATTCGGGGAACACATGGTCCGATAGCTTGGCAGGTCTGGCCTCAACCTTCGGCCACATAGGCGCTTCCAAAAAGGAAGGGGGCGGCGGTGATTCGCCGTAGGCGTCTTCGATAATCATTCGCCAAGTGTTTTGACAGATGCCCTCCATCTGTATACACGGGTTCTCGCCCCATTCCCCATGCGTGCACTGCGAATATTGAGAATGTCAGCCCAAGAGGCCCCAAAAAGGCACCCAAGAGGCACCCAAGAGGCCCCCATGAAGCCCCTGAAAAACTTCAAGAAGCTTCCAAAAGGCGCACGAGAGGCCCTCAGGAGCAACACACAACAATCGCCACTCACTTCCCCAGGAGGTCGGCGGTGTGGCGTAAGCCCGAGAATGCACGTCCAGAAGTGACGTGCTGAGCGGCAGCCTTTTTTTTTGCGGAGGCGATGATGCAACGTATCCCATGTATCCGATCGTTGTATATTTGCCACATTGTATTGTTTTCCATTATTATGTCCCCCCCTAGCCCCCCCTTGGAATCGCGCCACTCCGCCGACCCAAGATGGATGCCCCCCTTCTCGGGCTCTCGAAACTAACAAAAAACAAAACTACAGGAAATCTACGATTTGGGCCTCTGGGGCCTCTTGGGACTCTGAGAGGGCCTCAAGATGCCCCAAGATGGCCCCAAGGCGGCCCAAGAGGGCCCTAGATGGTCCCAAGAGGGCCCGTGAGGCCCCCAAGACGGCTCAAGGGGGCCCCACGAGGACTCGACAGAGCGCCTCCAGGAACTAAAATCATTAATGTTCCGTTGGTTTTTGAAAGGTGTTAGCGTTCTCGACTCTTTCGGCTTTCAGAGGACCCTGACGGCCCAAGCAGCCTCCAAGAAGCACGGCCAACGAGGCCCCCAAAGAAGCCCCAGGATTGCTCAAGAGGGCCCGCAGACGGCCAAAAGAGGCCCCCAAGAAGGTCCAAGGGGACCCCAAGACGGCCCAAGAGAACTCCAAGAGAGCCCTAAGGCGGCCGCGAAGAGGCCCCAAGAAGCCCCCAAGACACCTCCAAGAGGCCACAAAGAAGCTCCCAAGAGGCCCCGCAACGACTGGACTGTACGTGCTCCGGACGTGCACCCCGCGAAGCGAGAGGAATCCGCGTCCGGAAGTGACGTGCTCAGCGGCAGCGCTTTCTGCGGAGGCGATAATGCAATATATCATATGTATCCAATCGTTGTATAATTGCCACATGTTGCATTGTTGTACATTATTCTCTTGCACAGGGTGTCTAGAACTCCGACCCATTTTATTTCGGCACGGCACCCCCTCCATCACCCACACATTCCACCAGCCAGCGCGCCCCTCCGCCCCGAACCCTTTATTTCGGCACGGCACACCCCTCCGCCCCGAACCTTTTTGTTTCAGCACAGCACACCCCCTCCACCCCCCCCTCGCACCCCCCCCACCCACCAGCCAGCGCGCCCCTCCGCCCCGACCCCTTTATTTCGGCACGGCGCACCCCTCCGCCCCGACCCCCTTAGTTCGGCACGGCGCACCCACTCCGCATCGCCCCCACCCACCAGCCAGCGCGCCCCTCCGCCCCGACCCCTTATATTTCGGCACCGCGCACCTCTCCGCATCCCCCCACCCACCAGCCAGCGCGCTCTTCCGCCCTGGCCTCTTTATTTCGGCACGGCACACCCTCCGCCCCGACCCTTTTTATTCTGGCACGGCACACCCCCTCCGCATCCCCCCACCCGCCAGCCAGCGCGCCCCTCCGCTCCGACCGTTATATTTCGGCACAGCACACACACCACCGCATCCCCCCACTTACCAGCCAACGCGCCCCCTCCGCCCCGCGACCCCTTTATGTCGGCACGGCCTCATTTGCCTCGCCGCGCGCCCCGCGCACCCCCCCGCTTCCGCCCACCCACCAGCCAGCGCGCCCCTCCGCCCCGACCCCTTTATTAGCCCCCCCCTCCACCCACCCACTCACAAGCCAGCGCGCCCCTCCGCTCCGACCTTTTTATTTCGGCACGGCACACCCCTCCGACCCGACTCCTTTTATTTTGGCGCGGCACTGCCCCCTCCGCCCCCTCCTCGCGCGCCCCCTCCGCATCCCCCCCACCCACCAGCCAGCGCGCCCCCTCCGCCCCGACCCCTTTGTTTTGGCGCGGCACCGCCCGTCCGCCCTGAACCACTCATCTCGGCACGGCACCGCCCCCCCCCCCCCACCCCCCGAGCGCCCACTCCGCATCCCCCCATCACCAGTCAGCGCGCCCCTCCGCCCCGACACCCCCACCCCGAGCGCACCCTCCGCATCCCCACACCCCCACCCCGAGCGCACCCTCCGCATCCCCACATCCACCAGCCAGCGCGCCCCCTCCGCCTCCTCCCCCTTCCTACCTGTGCAAGAGCCATGGCGCGCGTGCCACTTGTTATGTCTCCCCCCTAGCCCCCCCCTTGGAGTCGCGCCACTCCGCCGACCCAAGATGGATGCCCCCCTTCTCGGGCTCTCGAAACTAAGCCTAAAAAGACAACTCTAGGAAATTCACGATTTGGGCCTCTGGGGCCTCTTGGGACTCCAAGAGGGCCTCGAGATGGCCCAAAATGGCCCCAAGACGGCTTACGACGGCCCCAAGACGGCCCTGGATGTTCTTCAGAGGGCCCGTGATGTTTCCAAGACGGCTCAAGGGGGCCCCAAGAGGACTCAAAAAGCGCCTCCAGGAGCCAAAATCATTGATTTTCCGTTGGTTTTTGAAGCAGCCTTCAAGACGGGCCAAGCAGCCTTCAAGAAGCGTTCAAGACGGCCAACGAGGCCCCCAAAGGGGAACCAGGATTGATCAAGAGGGACCCTGGACGGGCAAAAAGAGGAGAACAAGGTCCAAGGGGGACCCAAGACGGCCCAAGAGGACTGAAAGAGAGCACTAAGGCGGCCGCGAGAGGACTGCAAGATGGAACCCGAAGGGGACAGACGGAGCAAGAGCGCCCCAAGCTGGCGCAAGACGTCAACAAGAGGCCCCAAAGCAGCCCCAAAGACGCTCCAAGAAGCCCCCACGAGGCTTTCAAGAGGCTCCCAAGAGCCCCCCATGAGGCCGCCCAGAAGACCTGGGGATTGCAGGACGGAGCGGCACGCACGCGCGGCAGCCGAGCAGGTCACGCAAACCAACGCCCACACCGTGGCCCACACCTTCCACATTTGAGCACTTTTCCACAGCGGCGATTACGGCCGCGAGATGCCCCAGACCGGCCTCAAGAGACCGGCCTCCGAATGGGCCACACGCCGCAAGAGCGCCCCAAGACGGCCCAAGACGCCCCAAGAGGCCCCAAGAAGCCCCACAGAAGCCCAGTGCAGAAGAGGCCCCCAGAAGCCCCCACGACACCTCCAAGAGGCCACAAAGAAGCTCCCAAGAGGCCCCGCAACGACTGGACTGTACGTGCTCTGGTGCTCCGGACGTGCACCCCGCGAAGCGAAAGGAATACGGGCCAGCTTCCTGGAAGCTTCTTAACGCACGCCTGGGCCAACTTCTGTTGTTAATGCTCGAGAAACGAACTTGCTCAAGAAACTGGGCCAACTTTCTGGTAAGCTAGTTGAGAAACGCTGGCACCGCTTTTCGGGAGGAGGTTTCTTAATCAGATGCTCGACTGTAAGGAACAGCGAGCCACTTGTCCATCTTGTTCCTCCTCCTCCTCGCTCTTCATCCTCTCCTTCTCTCCTGTCCCTCGCTCCTCCTCCTCCTCCTTTTCCTGCGTTTCCTCCATCTCCACGAAACGGTC